GGATATTGGAGATGTAAAAACAGGTTAACTGTATAGTATTCATAGTTTATCAAGTTTAGGATTAAGAGAAGTTATAGAAAAAATAAAAAAAATTAGTGCACAAGTATAAATGAAAAATATGAATGATTAAAAATTGGTATCCACTTATTAAACAATTTTATTCAAATGGGAGGCATTATTAATTAAAAATGATATGAAATATGTTGATTATTATAAGCACAGAAATAAATCTTTTTTATATAAAATTACTTTCAAAAAAGAAAAAAATTGGTTAAGCTATTTGTAAAAGGAATATCTTTGTTTCTATTTTTTTTTAAATTATGTCAGCCTCAAAAAAACTATTACAGGTTGTTTTTTATTTTAATTATAAGCTGATTCATGATAAATACCAATTTAAGCTGAATTCGTTCAATTTTCTTAGCCATAGGTATATCTACCTATTATAGTGAATAAACAATAGAATTTTGTATTACTAAAACTAATATCTACTTAAATGTATGTGTAATTGTGATATGATGTTATATATTGTTAAATACTATTCCTAAACCCTACCTATTACTACTATTTAATCTTAATTATTAAATATTGGTAACCTACTTATTTAAATTTACTTTTAACCACTATACAAATATTTCTAATAATCATACCTTTCTATAGATGAAAAATGTTGCAATTAGAGCTTCTCAAAGGCGACTTTAATTTTCATAGTATGCATATAATTGTAAATGGTGCTATTGTTGCATTTTCATTTGATAAGTACAAAATATCATTCAATAAAAACCATTCTTATAAAACCAAACATCAACCATCGTCCATCATTGTAAAGTGTAGTAAACTTCAGAGATCAGTGTTGCCAATATGCCAATTGCCATTGTCAAGCCGTCAAGAGGGAAACGTTGAAAAATAAAAAAACCTTCAATCATGATACAAAAAAATTTCTCATGTTCCAATAAAAAAACAAATTATTTAGCAAAATCCAACCTAATTTTGTTCTTTTTTATCGAATTTAAGTGGTATTAATTTCTAAACACAATAACAAATTTAATTTTATGGAAAATATTGCTTAACCCTCATTCTGTATCTTTGTTTATTCATTGTAATAAAAAAGATAGCATTTCGATGAATCTTATTTCAATCATTGAAAATTATTTCTTGATAAGGAACTTTATTTCAAGTTTGTCTTTTTTTTAATCATCGAAAATAGTTAAAGTTTTTCAATTATACGAGTTTAAAAAGAAATTTATCTTTTAACAAATTTTATGTTTTAGTTCTAGATCACTTCTAGATAGGTGAGAGCAGTGAGAGTAACATATTTTCTATTTTCTGACTTTGACGTGATATGACTCATGACACTTCACTTGACATTTTTGCTGCTCAAAGTTCACACGTGAATAATCCGGTTTTAAATAAACTCTTGTTCATTTAATTTGATACAACTAGAAAGATAATTTACTTTTGTAAGTTGAGTTTATATATTATTACTATTGTTTTATGTGTGTTTAGGCCATAGAAACTTATTTATTTTCTTCCGAATACAAATGTCAAATGTGCAAGCAGAGCAGTTGAAAAAATTCGTATTTTCCTCTAAATGCACCGTTCGTGGCGAATCTCTGGAAGAAAAATTGGAAATTATCATTCCTGAGGTATATTATTTTAGTTTAATACGAACACTTTCAGTAGAATTAATTTTTTCCAGAGATTTGCTTCTATAAATAATGTGAAGTTATTGCATGATTCCTTCATTTCTTGGTTCTTTTAAACAGGACCGGCTTCAAAAATTTTAAATTTATATCTGTACAAAAAATATACTGGTCATTTATTTTAGCACTCTTGACTATTTCTATGCATGATTGACTTTTAAAAATAGGGTTACAGTAGACTTTACCAATACTATTTATTAATTCGGATTAGTTATTTACTTTTTCCTAATACTTTAGCCATTATTTCAGATATAAACAGATATTGATCTATGTCAGGGGCATGGAGGAGTATACATTAAATTAGTGATTATGTAATTTTGGTTTCACTGAAAATTTATTATAATGACAGTAGACTTGTTTATTATTTTCGAGTGGTGTTTGTTTACCTAAATTAGGTTTTGAACTTTTATAAATATATCTCTAAAGTAAGTAGATACATGCATCAAGTAACTTTCCATTGATGATGCCAGAAGAACGGTATAGAATAAGCTATGCTATTTATTAGACAGAACACACCAGCCCACTAGTGGTATCTGTCCAATCACTTTAGGCAGTCATCAATTTAAGAAAGTCTCTTTGTTTTTTTCACATGCAGATATAAGAGTTTCATCTTTATTTTAAAGGATCCATGAGTTAATGCACTATAATCAAAGTCAATGGTGGAACCAAAATCACCACACTAATATGGCATATTTTAGATATTTGTCAATAATAATAAAAATGTGTTTATTTCCATTTAATAAAAGATTAATATTACCTTATTTATACAATTATAGTGAGATTCAATTTGTATTTTTATAATAATTATTATAATATAATGTGAAATATAAATTTGTTTCTATTTTTTTTTATTTAGTTTCATTTTTCATTGAAATGAATAATTTGATTTTTGTAAATAGTTTTTTTTAGTAGTAATTATTTTATTAATTTATACAGGGATAATCTAAGTTGATTTTTTTAACTGTGTATAGAAGTCATTAAAATAAACAACTTTTAAAAAAAATCAAAAATAAAAAACTTTCAATTATTTATTCCAAAATGTATCTATCCAATAAGGTTCTGTCTCATTTACATGTGTAGAACTTTCGCCAATAAAATTAAATGTTGATCACATTCAGACCTTTTTAAGAACAATTCACATAACTGAATTTAATGTTCAAGTCTAAGTGTGATATGGACAATCCACTCGAGTTGTACAGTATATTTTTTCTACGACCCACTTACGGCAATCTACAAATTAAAAAAATATTTAACACAAAATAACTTATTTTAAAATAATTTATGAATTTTACTGATTTTTAAAATAAAATAAATAACTCATTTTAATGTATATTTAATCTTAATAATTAAAAAATATACTAACAATTAGTTTGACAGGATTGTCACTAATTTAAAATTTTAAAAGTAATAGTAGTTGGATGTCCAAAATATGAACTGTGATTGGTGGATTTCATTTTTTTGCAGTGTTCTCACTACCTAGAATAGATATGAAATATATTCGTTCAGTTGAACGCAATGACATACTTTTTCTGTTTGTAGCCTGTGCGTAGATAAGCTAATATCCATGTGGGTGTAAAAAAAATATATTAATGATCACATAGAGTAATATTCATTAATTGTATATGGTTCTAAATTAATTAACAATTCATGTACTTCTCTTTTAAATACTTTAACATTTGCTAATATTTTTATTGTATCAAGCTGTTTATTGTACAACTTTACACAGTTGTACCCTGCTCCATATTCAGTAGCTGTCAACCTATGTATTGGATATACTAGGTTTATATTTCTTAATATATAAGCATTCGTTGGTTCAAAATTTAAAAATAAACCTCTATTTTTAAATGAAAAAAATTAAGCATTCCTGGATGTATATATGCCTATCACAGTTAAGATTTTATTTTCTTTAAATTTACCTCTACACAAGTCTCATATTCAAACTGAGTATAATCCACATTATTCTTTTTTACTCTAAAAAACCCTTTCAATTGAATTGCTCCCACCATAGAATATTATCCCATTCCAAATATTTCTTCACAATTCTGATGCTGTAACAGATCTGGCTCAGTTTTGTACATAACAAACTCAACATGGCTTTTCCAGCACTGAAAACTATCAATATATAGCCCCAGAAACTTGGTACTAGTTGAGACCTTAAATATGCAGTTTGTAGGAAACTACACGTCTCGTTACACCATAGGTCTAGCCGAAGAAGAAAAATTACTAAAACTTGTCTAAAACTTATTTTTACTCGAAGGACCATGTAATTTTTATCCGCTTACAAAACGTTTTATTTAAACACGAAATATCGTTGAAGTCTCAGCAATACCCTTTTTATTAACTCTGTCTCCCTCCTTAAACCCCCAGAAGTACCAGGCATATTGCTCGGGGAAAACCGTCTTTTAAAATTGTTTTGGATTAGTACCAACTACCTAAGTTTAATAAGTTATAACGGACTGTTATCCGTTCTAATAGAATTTTTATTGCCCTTGATTGGGGCTTATTTTGGTATTTTGAAGGATTAGGGAAAAACCAGAGCTGTTCCACTTCGGGTCTGTGCTATGAGTAGAAATATACAGGATGATAGAAAAAAATAATAAATTCAATGTGTTTCTAGACTTTTCCAACTCAGTTGTTTAGTTGAATATTTATTGGCATTTCATCTCTGTTTTAATTGGTTTTAAAAAGTACCACATTTGTTTTGCCCTCAGTTCAAGTTCAGTTCATGCTCAGTTCGAGTTCAACATAAAGCAAAATGTACATAGTCATTTATAAACTTGGTCGTTGACGTTTGCGCTCAGTTCGAGTTCAGTTGATGCGAGATGACCAATTTTATGTATGACGCAACGTCGAGCCAATGAAAAACACGTAAATGTTTATTTGACCACGCATGCGTCAACGAGATCCTAAAATGACCTGGTAGGTGTGTTTTGGATTAGAAATTATAACAGATTTATAATTATTTTATGACCAACACCATCTACAAATATAATTAAAACAAAATAACGAAATATAATTTATTTTGTAGAATTTGTGGTTATGTCTTGTCAAATCAAATGTCAAAATTCGCAGCGATAAACGAACGGCTAACGACTTTATAAATTGGGTCCAGAGTGAACTCACCAATTCAAACTAAGAGTGAACTGAACGCCAACTGAATGAAGTTTATAAATCCAGCTTTCTTCTTTATAGTAATGCAAACATTTTGAAATTCTGAAAGTTAACTACATGCCCAAAACTAGTAGAATTCACCTTTCAAATCGCATATTAATAAAAGAAAAACTTGTTTTTTTTTTGCAGTTACTTCAAGCAAGTTATTCATTCTACACTTGGCCCTCAGCACCAGTTCTTGCTTGGTTTATTTGGGAAAACCGACAAGAATTTTACGGGAAAAAGGTACTGGAACTGGGATCCGGCACCGCCTTACCTGGAATATTAGCCGCAAAGTGCGGAGCAGACGTTACTCTAACCGAATCGGCCACCTTACCTAAATCGCTATCGCACACTCGCCGAAGTTGTCAGGTCAATAATTTAACAATCAATAAGCATATACGCGTCATAGGACTATCTTGGGGCTTGTTTTTGAGTAATTTGGACTTGTTAGGACCAGTTGATTACGTAATTGGATCCGATTGCTTCTTCGAACCATCCACTTTTGAGGATATATTAGTCACGGTAGCTTATCTGCTCGATAATAATATCAACGCAAAGTTTTTCTGTACTTATCAAGAAAGGAGTTCCGATTGGTCGATAGAGCACCTGCTGCTAAAGTGGGATTTAGAGTGTATCGTACACAGCATAAATAATCTGGGAAACAGTGTTGGATTGAACATTCACGATCTCATCGGCGATCACAGCGTCCATTTGCTAGAAATCTCGCGGAAATCGTGATGGCAGCGAATGCGGTTCGCGAAATATACAAATTGTTCGTGAACAACATTCCTTGGACAGTAGGCCACGGGGAATTGAAGACATATTTCAGTAAGTTCGGCCACGTGCACCAGGCGTCGGTAGTTTTCGATCGAAAAACCGGACTATCGAAGAATTTCGGATTCGTTACATTCAGCAACCGCGAAGGTCTTGAAAACGCCACCAAGCAGCAAGTCCATAAACTAGAGGGCAATACAATACGGTTACAACCGTCGAATTAATCATGGCGGATTCGGTAGATAATTTTAGCGATTTAAAAGAGTTAGGAATAGACATTAATGAATGTAATGATAGTTTGAGCGTTTCTTTTACGAAAGCAGCGAACCGTTTACAAAAAATTCTACCTAATGTCGATAATCAGATGTTGCTTACGCTATACGGTTACTACAAACAAGGAATGGAAGGAAGTTGTAATATCCCCAAACCAAGCTGGTACGACTATAAAGCTAAGTCCAAATGGGAATCCTGGAATAAATTGGGCGACATGTCCCGAAAGGAAGCTAAACAACGCTATATAGATGCTCTAAAAGTAGTTGATCCTTCATTTGACAGCGCACCCGATGATAAACCGGCAGAGCAATGGGCAAAAGTCTCATCGATGGTCGATCAAGATGATGCAACGACTGCGTTAACAATTGTCGATCACATAAGAGATGGCAGAGTTAACGAAATTAAAAAGTTCGTCAAATTAAAGTCACCAAACGCCGTATACGATGACCTACCTCTGATACATTGGGCGGCCGACAGTGGCAACGTAGTCGTGCTGAAGGAATTGATCGAATTGGGGGCAAATTTCGATTTGTTGGACAGCGACGGACAGACAGCTTTGCATTATTCCGCGAGCTGCGGACACGCGGATTGCGTTAAGTTTTTGGTGCAAAGAGGTGCTAGGAAAGATATAGCAGATAGTGATGGTAATATACCTTCTGATGTTGCTGCCGATGACAATATTAAACGTTTGTTGAAGTAAGCTGTAATGCCGTTTGTAATTTTTACGAAAATATAGAATTTATTTGGAACTGCATTTTTATTATTTAGAAGCTTTACAGTAGTATCGGATTTTCTTAGATTTAATAAAGGCTTTTGATTGTGTGAATCACCATATACTTCTTAATAAATTATACAAAATGGGAGTGCGAGGTAATGCATATGACTGCTTTCCATCTTATGTTTTAAATAGACAATAGCGAATATTACTCTGAATCAAAAAATACTATGCTGGGTGTTCCACAGGGAAGTGTCTTAGGTCTTATTTTATTTGTATTATATCTAAACGATTTACCAAAAATTTTTACAAATGATTCTGTAGCTCTCATTAATTATTCCGATGACACAAATGTCTTACTGTCTAGAAACCATTACAAAGTACTTGAAAAATGCTGTTGAGAGAATTTAAAAATGGTTTGGTGAAAACTCGCTATTATTAAATTTATCTAAAACTAATTGCATACTTTTCAAGCATAGTAGTAATAAAAATGAATATCCAGAGGATATTAACTTATGTAATACATTACTAGAATATTCTAAATCGACAAAATTTCTCGGCGTAATAATTGATAAGCCTCTAACTTGGGTGGAACATCTACATTCATTTTGTGGAAGGCTCAGCAGAACTTGCTTTACATTGAAACAAGTTAAAAAAGTTGTACATCATTCTTATCTTATATCAGTGTATTATGGTCTATTCTATTCCTCAATGTGCTATAGAAATATTTTTTGGGGAGGTTCACACTGTCAAGAAGTCTTTGTAATACAAAAAAGAGCAATTCGAATATTGGCTAATCTAAAGCTTACAGAATCATGCAGAGGTTCCTTTAAAAATCTAAATTTTTTGACAGTATATATGCTAGTTACGCATATGAGTGTATTGTTTGTGAATAAAAATAAAAGTATATTCAACGAATATATAGCAGACCAAGGTTTAGAAATAATTTTTGTCTGCCGAGGCACAGAACTACCCTGCTGGAAAGGAGATGCGGTTACAAATGTTTGCAATTTTATAATATGCTTCACGAACTTTTAAAAAATACTAAGAGCCTATCAGCTTTCAAAAATAAGGTCAGACAAATTTTGATTTCTATTATTGAGCCTTACAGCTTAGATGATGTAAAGTGACTGTAAGTAATTATTATTTCTAAATACTTTGTGAAATCAACATACTAGTCTTCAATGGTAATATGCGTTTTCCTAGGTTTTCCCATATTTCTTAGCAATTGCACCACTATATTCATTTTTAAGTCACCCCAGTGTGCACTTTGTAGGTCATCAAACTAGTACAGATTAGAAAAGAATTATGTCCGATGTTGCCTAATATTGAAGGGCTGAATAAGCCTTATTTGTCTAGAAGGAACATGAATATTGATTTTTTCCAATAGCTTTGGACTAAAGCTATATGAGTGCAGTAGATTGTGGAATGTGGTAATATTAAGGGAACTAATATTTGAATAATTAATATCCTCGACTCTACGTTGTTCCTTAAATAAATCTTAAAAATGTATATTGAACTCTTTCAATGGCTTGAATATGAACAATGTAATGGGGGACCAGACACATGAACAGTAATCTAAATAGGGCCCCACAAGTGAACAAAACAATATTTGAATGGATGATACCTCAAAAAAATCCTTGCCGCAACGTTTAATAAAGCCTAGCATTTGAAGTGATTTTAAGACTGCCATTGATATATGGGGTACGTAAGATAAGTTGGAATCGAGGACTACACCCAAATATTTGACTTGAGATACTGATTCCAAAGGACAACTATTAATATTGTAGATTATTTGTTCTGTGAGAAGGAAAATATCACTATAAGTTTTAGAAAAATACTCAGCAAACAAATTGACAATCTCAAATGCCAGAGAACTAGTGGTATTATCATAGTGCATTACCGAAGGTATATTACTTTTGCCTTTTCTACTGTTTACAAAAATTTTTAAATTGACCCTAAGTGACGATTCCGTTAATGTAACATAACTTCGATAACATTGTTTTTTAAGTGTTTACAGTGAGCCCTTAATAAAAAAAAATCATTATAACCATTTAGTAATCTACTGTCCAAGTATTTTTTAGGCATTTTCTTTTTTTTTAATTATCGCTTGTTTTAGCTCTGGAAAAACCAAACAGGAAACTTCTTTGCCGATTATTTTTTTAAAGGGACAAACATATATATTGTTAGGTACACAAAATGTATTAATCATATCCCCAAGACTCTTGTTCTCAAATAAAACATCCCAATTAAACTGGCAAAGAACATTTGCCTCTTCTTCCATATTTATTGAATGGAAATCTCTATCAAAACCATCACCAGTTAATCCCGAGTTGTTAAAACAATGTGCTTCATATTTAATCTCAAATGAGAGAGGTGGATGATGAATATCTTCTAGAAGTAAGGCATCTTCAGCTGCAAATATCTCGGTTTTGCTATCTTGAATAAAAACCAAATCAAGTAAATTGTTAACATTTCTGAGTTAATTTGATGAAGATTATGATATGAGCATAAAAATGAATGAATTTGTATGGATTCAACTTGATTTCGAGGAACTTCATCCAAAGGTACAGCGACCGATGCCAATCTACCATTGAACCACTGGCAGTATGGAACGTTAAAGTTTCCCAGGATACAGAGTTTACGCTCTGGATATTGTTCTGATAGGTTCTCTAAATTTTCAGCAAACTCCACATATTTTTCTGGCGCACTTTGTGGTGGAAAATAAGCTCTTGCAAAGATGAACTTGTTGTCTGTTTGGACTTTAACAAATATATGCTCTAATGTATTGCTAGCTGACAAAAGTGTGCTGGTTATAGTTTTACGGACAGCTATATAAACACCCCTTCACCTCTAGAAAATGTACTTGTTTCGGAAGATCTATTCCTTCGATTTGTGTTGTAGACAAGTATTTGTAGTTCAGCGTCGTTAATATCACCAGTTAACCAGGTTTCGTTAAACACTAAAATGTCATATTGAGAATAAGAGGTGTTTTCATAAAAAAATTGAAGTTTTGTAAGGAGGCCTCTGACATTCTAAAAATATACCAATACTGTCGAAGTGCTTTTCAATCTTACCTCGGCAGGCTTTTTTAGTTTTTTTGTGATTAATTTTGGTACTCCATTAACATACTTCAGAATGAGATTAGGTTTACCATTACGTTGTCTTTCAATTCATTTTTTAGAGTATTGACCACTGCTCGTTGTTCTGCAGTTAAATCTGCCTCAAGAAATATTTTTAAGCTTCTATCAAATTCTATTAAATCATTGTAATGAATTCAACTAGATTAAAACACTTCATATAAACAACTTACCTTCCAATGGACAAAAATCTTAGTTCTTAGTCCTACTTACAGATAAATTAATATAGAGTATAATTACGTATTGGTAGACACAAATTTCGCTACTTAAAAAAGTTTTTCCTTTGCTGCAAAGGTGTTTAAATCGGTTGATGTAGCGGACTTCCACTACTGTCGGCAACACTGGAAAAAATCCTACTTATAGACATCTTTTACAAATTTCCTCCAGAGGGCGTATCGCTTAGCTTAAATCGTTACATTTTTCGTGCGCAATGCCGGAATTTACTAACACTGAATTGACGAATATGATTTTAGTGTACAAGATGGTTTATTTGAATTGTTACACATGTTTTTAAAGCCGTTCCCAACTCTACCGGCCGTAAAGAGCTTTCGCTATGAACAATAAACATTGATTGGGATATCTAAATGGTGGATGTTGTCGAAGTTATAAAAAGAAAAACAAATTTCTCAAAATTACTTTAATTCTATCTTAAAAAGCAAATTGGGTCTTAATGAAGAATATAATATAATAATAATAGTAAAAAGAATCAATTAAATAAATAATGAATCGGAATATTATTCAGGAACGATCTTTATCCACGCCTCTTCTTCCTCCCCGTTCTCGTTCGGTATTCGCACTTTGACCAACTGAATCGGCCCGTCCGGTGTTTCGATTATTTGAGTTTCTCCATTCGCTAGGGCGTCGCTAGTGATTAATTCTTCGTAGTCTTCGTCCGTTTGATCGGCCACCACCTGTCGAATCAAAAAAACAAACCGTTCGTGGAAAATCGCCAATACAAGATCGCTGGGCGCTCAATTTAATCAAATCAACTCCGACCAGTTGTTGCGTGAATTTTTCAAGATCAAAAATCGAAATAGCCACTTACTCTCTTTTAAAATTTAGAAACATGGTGTTATGTCGCAAAAAGAACGATCAGCATTAATGAAATTAAAAAAAAAACTACTGTTAGAAATAACCCAAATATGATCTCGATTGAAGTTTAATCATGATACATTTATACTATTCATTAAAATATTACCCAATATTCATGATATATTCAAACGACTCATAGAAATTACTCAATATTTAAACTGATAAGAGGTGTAAGTATTAATACATTTGAACTACTCCTAGAAATAGAGTAATATTGAACCCAATGGTTGTGTAAACTATGATAGATTCGAACCACTCATAAAAATATTACACAATATTAATCTGATTGTTTATTTTGTTTATTTATTCAAATAGGTACACTACAGAATTATTATTCTAAATGGTACAGAGTTAAAAAAAAATGAGGTGTAAGTCTGAAACATTTGAACTACTCCTAGAAATATCGCAATGTTGAACCCGGTGGAACAATAAATTAAGATATATTCAAACCACTCAGAAATATTACTCAATATAAAAACTGATAGAGGTGTAAGTATTGGTACATTTGAACTACTCCTAGGAATAGAGCAATATTAAACCCGATGGTTGTGTAAACCACGATAGATTTGAACCATTCATAGAAATATTACTCAAATATTAATCGGATTGAGGTATGTGTAAGTCTAGAAATAGAGCAATATTGAACCCAGTGGAAGAATAAAACAAGATATATTCAAACAACACATGGAAATATTGCTCTCTATATTAAAATCGATAGCGGTGGAAGTAACGATACATTTGAACTAATAGAAATAGCGTAATTTTGAACCCGATGGCGGTGAAAATCGTGATATATTTGAATTACCTCTAGAAATAACATAATACTGAACACGAGATGGTGTAAAACATTAAATTTTAACTACTCAAAAAAAATGGCGCAAAAATGAACCCGGCGGAGATGTAAATCACGGTATATTTGAACTACTCATAGAAATAGTGCAATATTAAACCCGATGGCTATGTAAATCATGATATATTTTGAACCACCCCTAAAAATAGTGCAATACTGAACACGATGATGTAAATTGTGATACATTTGAACTAATCCTAGAAATAACGCAATATTGAACTGATGGTAACGTAAATCATGATATATTGGAATTACCTTTAGAAATATCACAATATTGAATACTGTAAATCATGATACATTTGAACTACTAGAAATAACGCAATATTAAACCTGATGGTAGTGTAAACAATGATATATTGAAACTAACCCTAGAAATATCACAATATTCAATACGGTAGTGTAAATCATGATACATTTGAACTACTCCTAGAAATAACACAATATTAAACCTGACGGTAGAGTAAATAATGATATATTGAAACTACCCCTAGAAAAATCACAATATTGAATACTGTGGTGTAAATCATGATACATTTGAACTACTCCTAGAAATAACACAATATTAACCCTGACGGTAGTGTAAATAATAATAATAATATATTGAAACTACCCCTAGAAATATCACAATATTGAATGTGGTGTGCATCATGATACTTTTGAACTACTCCTAGAAATAACACAATATTAAACCTGTCGGTAGTGTAAATAATGCTATATAGAAACTACCCCTAGAAATATTACAATATTGAATACGGTGCTGTAAATCATGATACATTTGAACTACCCTTAGAAATAGAACAATAATATTGAACACAGTGGTGATACATTTGAACTAATAGAAATATCGCAATATTGAACCCAATGGATATATAAAGAAAAATCCTCGAAATCGAAAATAGAAACCTTGAGAAAGCCGCAAAACCTGGCAAAAAATGTATAGAAATACCTAAAATAGAAAAAATATAAAAAACCACATAATGAAGAATAAATTAAAAAAAATTAATTAAGATAACTCTCTCATTTACCTGCTCTATTTCATCGATGATTTCCTCGTTTTCCTCTTCGCTGCCGACTTCGGCGAAACTGATTTGTTGCCCGTCGATGATGATGTGCTCGGTGCCGTCTTCTTCAAAAATTTCAGTAACGCCAGCGGCGTTCACCGTCACCAATTGATCATCTTCGGTGGTCAATCGCGGCTGGTTCACCACGATGGTGTCGTTCAGATGGCCCTGAGCCTGCATGTGTTGGCTAAATAAAAAAAATAATACTAGATTACTGAAAAATCCATTTCATACAAAATAATAAAATTACAATGGTAATTTTAACTAGTTGATATTAATAAAAAAAAAAAAAAAATAGTACATAAATAAACGTTCCATCTAACTTTGTAATATTCTTTTAATATTCTAAAGGACTTAAAAAATATATAATTTGGACATAACAGGCCATTCAATTCACGAGATAAGTGGATTATGATGACCGTAAAATAAAGCAAACAGTTCCGGAGAATGATTTAACATATTTAACAACTTATGTAAGAATAGTAAATCCACATTATGCCTAACAAATAAAACGAAATAGAAATAGGTTTCTTTAAGAATATATTTACAAAGATATTTGAAGTGACTAGGGTACTTACTACAACAAAGGTTTCCTCATAAATCCAGCCCCGCATACGAGACACTCGTAGGGCTTCTTATCCGAATGGACAAATCGATGCGCGTTCCTGTTGTCTCTGCTGTTGAACGCTTTGCCGCACACTTCGCACAAGAACGGCTTCTCGCCGGTGTGAATCCTCCGGTGCTTCTTGAAATGCTCCGGATAGACGAACGTGGCTTCGCACGTTTCGCATTTGAACGGCCTCTCACCTAATCAAAAATACAGTAAACTAAACAAGTCACTTTTTAATTGAAATGTATGACTAGTTTGTATAGAATTAGTCAAATTATAAATATAAATAAATTCTTAACCTAACGAATCTAAAGAGAGACAGCAAATGACAACCGAAAGACAATTTACCTTAAAGTTTAAATACAATGTTAGAATTGGCCATTTTAATAATATAATATTTATTTTAGGACAAGTATAATTCGTATGAAATTTGTCAATATTTAAAATACAATCTTAAACTTAAACTAGATAACCCAACTAAAGAGAAAAGAATTAAAAATTTTAAAAGATTTAATCATTTTAAAAATCACTTATGGAATAGAAGCCACCCTCATGTAAAAATCGTTTTATTGCTAATTAAAATGAATTTACAGATTTACAAGATTAAAGGCGAGGAGGCAAATAATTGAAAAGTCGTTCCCCAGATATAATGGGTGACTTGAATAAGGTATTACCCTTTGAAAATGGTATATAAAGATCATTACGATTTCTTGAATTTAAATTATGAACTTGGCCATTTGTCATAAAACTATTTAAATTACTAAATAAAAATACATAAATTTCTAAAATACATAAACAAGGTAATGGTAAAATTTCAAATTTTTTAAAAGATTCTCTACAACTGGTTGTGCGAGAAATACCAGCAATACCCCGAATTATTTTCTTTTGTGAAATAAAAACATCATTAAGATATGTGGATATAGCCCAGAAACATATCCCATACCTTAAACGCATGTGCATAGTACAACATGATTAGCTGGTTTTCAGTTAGAACTGTATTTAAATTTCTAAATAATTTACTGAGTTTAGTTTTGAAGTGACTGTCTTGCAATGTTTCTTCCAGTCAAGGCATTCATCAATGTATAAACCAAGGAATTTTACACATCGAGTATCGACAATTTTTCTATTATTGATGATAACATTGAGAGCTAATTTGCTTTTGTTTATTGTGAAATTGTATAAGGTGGGTTTTTTCTGCATTTAAATAAACAGAATTCTTGCAGAACCATTGAAACAGATTAGAACAAACCTGGTTGCATTTATTTTCTAATGTAAGGGAATTTTTGTCAGAGACAAGAGCTGATAATGTCATCTGCATATAGTGTAAAATGTGCATTTTGACTAATTTTAACCAAATCATTCACATATACCAAGAATAAGATTGGACCTATAATAGACCCTTGTGGCACACCAATATTGGTATAAACATAGCCGGATTTGTAAGTTTTTATTAACTTTTCACTTATGGAAAGACTAACATACTACTGTCGACGTTCATTTAAAAAAGATTTTATCCATTGAAGAGACTGATTAATAACACCGATACTATTTAGTTTGCTAAATAAAATATTGTGATCGGCACAGTCAAATGCCCTGCTATCACAGAAGATCCCAACAGGACATTGGCCAGCGTCTAGTAAGTTGGTTAAATTTTTGTAAAATGAATGAATTGTTATATTGGTAGATCGTGATATTAGAAAACCATGTTGTTCTTGACAAATCATATTATTTTTGCTTAAGTATACACTTAGTGTCCCTAAATAGCTATTCTAGAATATTTTTAAAAATATGGTAGGGATCGTTATGGGATGATAATTAATAACAAGTTTTGGGTCACCTTTTTTGAAGACAGGAACTATTTTTCCTGTTTTCATGTAGTTTGGAAAATCACCATTACAGAATGAAAGGTTAACTAGAAAAGTCGAAGGAGATATTATGAAAGGAACAACTTTTTTTAGTAGAAAGGCAGGTATTTCATCGAAACCGCAAGATTTTTTATTTTATTAAGTAAGAGTTCTAATAATTCACCTTGCGTATAAAGGAATAATTGTAACGGTTTTGTGTGTGATCACCACATTGTAACGGTAACTTCTGACATTAAATATCGTGTGTTTACTTTTGGTTTTCTTTTATATGTAAATAGGATTTTTTTAGGTACCTAGTTTGTTCAAAACTGTCAGAAAAGGTAGGTTACAAGCCCTCGTGTATCTAGTACCACTTATGTTGCTCAATTGTCCACCCCATTGTGTACAATAAACGTATACCTCTGGCTGGTAACTTGTTCGATCTATATTTTTCTGTTATTATTTTAATACCCATCCTATGGCATTTAGGAAGTACTTGTCAGAAAGCAACTACGAGTAAAACCTGATTAAACATCTTATCTGTATTTTATCTGGTCCATATTCAAATAAAGAAGTTGATAATTGTCTTGTATTTACAAAATATATGATAAAAAAAATTAAATACACTATCATAAACAATACTCTGATATAAAACAAAAAAATATAAATAATTTTTTGCCTATTTGTGGAAATAATACTGTAATGGAATAAAGAAATGGAGCTAATTTGTTTTTAGCGAATATTTCTGAAACCAGCTCTGATATTTTTGGTTTTCAAAACGTTCTCAGATTGGACTTCGAAATATACAACTTTTTACCAATTTAACCAACGAGATAGCAATACATTTCAATTAATACATTTACCAGCACCAGATGCACAATAAATAATATAAATAGTTTGAAAAGAAAATCAAGATAAGTACCTGTGTGCGCCGCTTTAATGTGATAGTCCAACAGCCGTCTCCGTTTGAATCCCTTGCCACAAATCGTGCACTGGTACCGCTTGTCGTCGTAATGCGTGGCCCGTTTGTGTGATTGTAAATTGGACCTTTGACTGAAAGTCGCCCCACAAAACTCGCACTGGTACGGTCTTTCACCTAGCAAAATAATAATAAAAAAATAAAACTATATGGTATATTCATAAGATGCGAAACAGAAAACAGCTCTTTAACAGAAAAAGACGGAATCATTGTGTGGAGACATGATTATTTAAGAAAAACAGCGGATGCAAGGATTCGGCATAAACAGGTATTTTATTTAGATGCTGGACATACAGTAACAAAAATTTGGCAACTTATCTCTATCAAAACTAAAAAACAAGCCAACAAAAGACTACCATGAAAAAATGGATAGCCCTATGTTTGACTCCGTTATTGTTTTGGATAATGCATCCTATCACAGTCGATTAAAGGAGTCGACAAGATGGAGAAAGAAGATACGAGGTACGTCCAGAAAGTAAGTTCCATTTCAATTTATCTCCGCTCCAGCGCTGTGATCGCAGTTCCGCACATCCGCGGTAGACGCTCTGTATCCTGGAGAAGAAACGTGTGCCATTTGTAGGTCGCTGTCAGTAACGTACGCTTTGTTGTGCTTGTTTATAATGTCGGTGTTGATTGAAAATCCCGCCGCTTGTGAAATCAGATCTGTGATTCGTTTTCTGAATGCGAGGAAATAAAAAACCAATTGAAATTTATCGGCAAATTTGCGATGTTTACGGACAAAATGCGATGAGTGATTCAATGGTGAGAAGATGGGTCCGACAGTTCAATGAAGGACGTAGTGACGTGCACGATGAAGAACGAAGTGGGCGTCCATCTTTGGTTACAGAAGAACTGGTTTACGCGATTGATGAAAAGATCCAGGAAAACCGCAGGTTTACAATTAGTGCTCTCGCTATGGAATTTCCCCAAATCTCACGATCACTAATTCATGAAATTGTTACCGAAAAACTGAAATTTCGTAAACTTTGCTCACGTTGGGTACCAAAGATTCTTACTGAGCAACACAAAACAAAACGGATGGGTAGTGCACTTCAGTTTTTGACCCGTTATGATGAAGGTGGCGAAGAATTTCCGACACAGATAGTCACAGGAGATGAAACTTGGGTTTCTTACGACACCCCTGAAAGTAAGCGGCAATCAATGGAATGGAGGCACACTTCATCCCCAGCAAAGGTTAAGCCGAAGCAAATCTTGACACCTCGAAAAATGATGTGCACAGTGTTCTGGGACTGGAAAGGCATCTTACTCATTGATTTCTTACCGCGTGGTCAAACAATCACAGCAGATGCTTATTGCGAGACACTTGGGAATTTGCGCCGCGCAATACAGAATAAGCGCCGAGGATTGCTGTCAAAAGGTGTTGTTTTTCTTCACGACAACGCACGACCACACACTGCAAATGTGACGAAAAACCTCCAACAGGGATTTGGCTGGGACGTGTTTGGCCATCCTCCGTACAGCCCAGACCTCGCTCCTAGCGACTTTCATCTGTTCTTACATCTCAAGTCTTTCCTTGGCGGTCAACACTTCAACAATGACGACGAGCTGAAAGAAACTGTTTCCAACTGGTTGAAGACACAGGCGGCAAACTTCTATGAAGAAGGTATACAAAAACTTGTGCCACGCTATGACAAATGCCTGCAAAATTTCGGCAGTTATGTGGAAAAGTAGTTTGAGTTGTAGAATTTTGTGCAATAAATAATTTTTCTGTATCTGTACACAATTTAATTTTATTACCAAACGGAACTTACTTTCTGGACGTGCCTCGTATTTCAAAATCGCTTCTTTCTAAAAATATTATCAGTCCTCTTAAAACATTGAAGGCACAATTACTCGTAATAGAGAGAAAAAGGAGTGAAAATTCTCAGATTGCCTCCTTAATATGCCGAGTTAAATCCCATTGAACTGATTTTGGTCACAATTAAAATTAAAAAACATGCAAGGAAATGCTCAAAAAATTTAAAGCTGGTCGATCAAATTCGGTATATTGTGACGCATCTTAGATATATTCTTGAGCCTGAAACTAAACATCAATTGACTGTATGTGTTTCAAATTGAACCTAAATCAACGAAGCATTTCAAAAAAATTATGGCTTGTTTTTTTCGGAAAACGGACTGTGATGTATTGTAATTCATAGCTCCCGCTGTAAACCTACTACTTTCGGAAAAATTGAAACATGCGTGGTACAAGACTACTGGTAGAAGAATAAGTCACACGACCAACCTTCTTGACTCCGAACGTGATGGTTGTGTCAAACTGTACCGAACTGTGGTAATGGCGTGTATGATGCGTACATTATGTATAGTAATAATGTGATGTAATTATGTGATATTCGTGCTTAGGAGGAAAATAAAACACGTGCCTACATTTTAGTAGTTTTATTCCCTTACACCAACTGAAAACATAACACGGACCATGTTGCAACTGTTCCATTAAGAGGATAGAAAAACAGTTAATGTTGACTGGTATACTTTAATTTGTTTGCTGGAAGTTATTTCTTAAATCAGAAGAAACAGTGCAAACTGGTAAATCATTCTTCATCATGACAATGTAAACCCTGACACAGCATAACGAACTATCGAATTTTTGACCAGTAATATTCAATTAACCACTCATTGCCCATATTCTCCTAAATTATCGCCCAATAACTTCTTTCTATTCCAGCACATCACAAATAAAATGCCGTTGAAGCATTTAAATAGCTTGTTTGAAAAAATGCTTTGTCGATTGGTTTTATTGGATGCAAAAGTGTAATTTGTCGTAAAGGAGCTACATGAGTTAAAGCCCAAACTCGATTATTTTCCGATTTAAATCACCAAAAACGGCAGATATGACGGATGAGAAGTGACGCTATCTATTGACATGATAAGTGACGCCATTCAATGAGTTTATAAATGATAAACTTGTTAGAATGGACCTTATAATTTCTTATGTAGATTTACATGGAAAAATATAGATATTGTGCTTAAACGTCCTGTACCTTCTTTACAATTCGTTTGGTATCTTTATCGGTTGTAAGCAGGTAGGGTTAGGTTTGGCCCAGAACACTGCGGCCTCTTGGGTCTATTGTATTCCCCTGCTTTCCCTGTATTCAGGTACTATCTTTGGAATAGTCCTGTGTCTTTGGTTAGTTTTAAAAGGTTCCCTACCAAGTGTTTCTGGGGCGTTCTTTCCGATTCTAGGCCGAAAAGGATAAAACGTCGCCTAATAAGAGCTTCGCATTCGAAGATCACATGGTTTAAGTTTTCGTGCTCTTCTATGCAAAGTCTACACGTAGTGGGATCAATGTGTAATCCCATTACATGAAAGTGTTTCAGCAAGCAGTGCCCCGTTAGTAATCCCACAATGGTGGATATCTGAGGCCTTGCGAGTTAAGTAGCCATGCGTGGGTTTGGTCCCCGTAGCATGAGCTAACTGATTCTGTGCCCTCTTATCTGTTGCCAGTGAATTTGGTGTTTTGTGGTTATCTACCGGTTCACTGCCTGTCGAGCAGAGGTTTTGCTTATCCCAAATACAGGTTCTGGTCCTGTGAATGGTAGATCTGATCCCTCTTTGCTTTCCGAGTAAAGGTTATGAGTTGTGCTTTTTCAGGGTTTACCAAGAGGTTTTCCTGTGGTTTGGTGTTTTCCTCAGATAAGGATGACTATGTCATCGGCATATCCTTGGGCGTACAGCCCTTGATTGTTTAGTGTTTTCAGCAGTTCATCTGCCACTAGGTTCCACAGTAGAGGAGAAAGGACTCCACCCTGTGGGCATTCCCTATGGGCATCCCCTGTGGATATTCACCTGCATGGTTTCACTGAACATTTGTGCCTGTACTTGCCGTCAGCATAACATGTCTTCTATCCACTAGCAGATGGTGTCTTCTATTCCATGTTTGCGAGCGACAGCTACCATTGATTTAAAGGAGGTATTATCAAAAGCTCCTTTTATGTCAAAAAATGCTCCTAGGACTATTTCTTGGCTACTGAGTCCTCCCTCTATCTTGGTTACAAGATGATGCAGAGCAGACTCACAAGACTTTCCTGATTGATAGGCATGTTAGTTTGTATGAAATGGCCTCTCTATCAGAGTGGTTTGCCGGACACGCTGATCAATCAGTTTTTCCAATCCTTTCAATAGAAATGACGTCAGAGTTATTGGTCTATAGGCCTTTATCACGGTATACGTTGGAAGCCCTGGTTTAGATATGAAGACAACTTTGCTTTGTTTCCAGGTATTTAGTACATGTTTATGCACCAAACTTGCCCTGTAAAGCCTACAAATATGCGGGGACAGCGTTTCTATTGCCTGTTGCAAAAGCACAGGCAGTACCCCATCTGGTCCCGGTGATATGTATTGAAGGTGTGTACTGTCCATGTTACTTTCTCTGTTGTAACTACCCGTTTAGCAGTTTCCCACTCTTGATTGGAGACCTTTTTTTTGAGAGTTCCAGTTTGCTGCATTCGAGTTTGTTGTGAAATCATGGAAATGAGTTTTAAGAAGTAGTTCTAATGTTTCCATTCCAGTTTTAGTGTATTCCCCTATTTGGGTTTTTAAAGTCTCCACAGGGTTTATTGGATCTTTTGCCAGAATGCGGTGAAGTCTGCATCCTTCAGTTGTACTTTCAATTTCCTGACAGAATGTTCTCCATGAATTCCTCTTAGATTTCCTAAGAGTTTTGTTATACTCTGTGAGTGTTTCGGTGTATTCCCCCCACTCATTCGTCTTTTTAGCCTTATTAAATAGTTTACGTGTTTTTTTTTCTGAGTTTGGCGAGTTCGGTGCTCCACCAGCTCACCTCCCTAAAAGTTTTCCTGTTCTTTAACGAGCAGTTATTGTGATATGATGTTATAATTGCGTCCCGTAGTTGTTCTGCAACTTCATCTATATCATTTTTAGTATTAAGAGTTATTTTAACGGTTTTTAACACTGCCCCCAGCTCCACTCCGTATCCAAACCAATCAGTTTTATGTGGGTCTCGGTATACATCTCCTGGTTTATCGACGTTGTCGATTTCCATGAGAATATTCCGATGAACTGAGAGCGAAGGCTCTCTAGACACGTACCACTTGCCAATGTGATTTGAAACGAAGGAAGAACCAAGGGTAATACCAATAACCTCGCTCCGTCTACTGGTTACAAAAGTAGGTTCGTTTCCACAATTCAATATTTCCAGGTTAGTGGTTAGAACGAATTAACATTTTCTGCTAACTTTAGCAGTGTTTCTTCATAATTCTAGTATCTTACCTGTATGTGTCCTCTCGTGATCCCTGATCTCAGCCTTCCTAGCGAACGCCTTGCCGCACAATCCGCACACGAACGGCTTGTAACCGGTGTGCACGATCGAATGCACTTCCAGATTGTGCGCGGAACCGAACTGCTTGCCGCACAATTGACACGCATACTCCTTCATGCCCATATGGGTGCGCTCGTGCTGCGTGAGATTCTGCTGACTGAGGAAGGATTTGTCGCATTGCGTGCATTTGAATGGCCTAGGGCGTACCTCATGCGTCTTTTCGTGCGCCTTGTACGTGTATTTGCTAGCGAAATCTTTGCCGCACATTCCACACACGTACGGTCGGACACCTATGGAAAATCGTTGTTTATTTACAAACAAGTAAGGATGGAAAACGCTGGATGTTTACGGGAAATAAGATTGGTGTTTACAAAGAGTATATAGTTAAGGTCACAGTCCGAGAATAACAGTTAAGATTCAGTATAGAGCAAATTTGGGTCGGATACAGGAAAAAAGTATCCGTGCACTGGATACTAATACAATGTACCCGGATACTTTTTAAAGCGAGTTAAAATAATGTTTTTATGCCAACAGTCATAGTATATGAATTATGAATACAATGTAATTGAATACGAGTAACAATACTAGGCATAGTAGTTTATTGCACTTATATAATATACATACAGAATAAAAAGAAACAGAAATACAGTTTTATTACAAATATATACAGTGTGTACCAATAAAAACTCCCAGGCCGGATATTTTAGTAAGTAATAGAGATATTTTAATTCTGTAAAAGCCAGTTCATAGAGCGCTAGAAGAGCTTCAGTTTTAGATATAAATTGATTTTAAATAGCTTAATATGTAGATGGCGCTGCGCTCAATAATTATTTTTCGATGGGAGGATCTTTCTTATGTACCGCATCTTGTAAAAAATACATTTTTAGGCAGATTTTGTTCTATAAACTAATTTGATAAATCTAGCCATTTTCGATATAAAGAGTGGACCATTCAAAACAGTTTCACCCTGTTATTTGGCATTATTAATTGGATTTTAAGAAAATCATTAAAAACGATCTCGCATTAGATTTTTAAATTTCATTTTATTACTACCTTCTCTTCATATCTGGTGGTGTAAAAGTGGTAAGCATAAAAAGTATAATGTCGTTATAAAATATCTCGGTAGAAATACTATTCAAACCTTTTGTTAGTTATTAGTTTTTTTGATAGTAAAGTTAAATATGTTTTTATGATTCATTCTGGTTGCTAGAACGGCACAATGTTTATAGTCACTAGTTTTTATTGTATCTTGGTTCATTTTTTAAAAAAGTAGATGTTTCAAATTTAATTTAATATGTCGTACAAGAGCCACGTGAAAAACAAAATCTACGTTTGTTTAGAAAACGAGTGAATGCAGCTGTAACCCACACTAGTGATGTAAGAATACGTATCCAAAAATCTGTTGAATCAAAAATGACAGAAATAAAATCTGAAATCCGAATACACGAATCGAATGCTTCATATACTGTGTTCATAACAGAGCCGATTGCGAGATTTGCGGGTGGCAACCGATGCGAAATCGGAATCGCCCTAACTAGCCTTGTTGCAATTCGTAGTCGGTTAGTCGGCATGTATTAAAGGTAACAAAGTTGTATAAATATAAATAATATTCAGTGAATGAAAAATGTTATTTCTGATATTATTATAAAAACAAAATATTTGAGATTTTCTTGAGTTTATTATTCTAAAACATTAAAAGCTTCTGCTAATTCACTCTCAAACAAATTCTGCTAGGTTTAGCAACACTGCCCGGTTCCGATTCCACATGTCGCGGTGTATTTACGGTTGCGTATTACTAGGTCTTTTCCTTTGCATTGAAGGTGTAGCAATGAGCTACACCACTTCTGAAAATATCGTTCCATCCATACAATTTGTATAAATGGAACGATATTTTCAGAAGTGGTGTAGATCAGTGCTACACTTTCGATGCAAAGGAAAAGACCTAGTATGACTTCTCACATATGGAATATGGATACGTATCCGGATGATGAATCCGAATATCTCTTGGTTCCGAATACGTATTATCCGAATACTAAAAAGATACGGATATTTACAACACTAACCCACACGCTATAACCTACACGCTGTAAAATTGATCGAGCTGATTTAACTGGTAAAAGCGACAGTTACAAGGGGTAAGTTCGGTTTGGAACTCGATGGATGGGACAGAGCGCGCACGGAGTGCGTGACGTCATAGACAGAGTTCGCTCCTTTTACAATCTCAAGACGAACACAAGCAGAATGACAAATGACACTAGTGATAGTTTGCATTTGAATACACTTTTGTTTGTGTGTATGGACTGTAAAAAATAATTTTAATCAAATAGGAAATAGTTATAACAAAAACAAACAAGAAATAATACGAGTAAAACTGATTAATCAACGATCAGAATATTGACATTTGACATTTTTGACACATTCCTACAGACACCCGCTGGATACCTATTCTCTAACTCATGGGAGCACTCCCATACTCCCATGCCAACGTTGCCAAGTCGACAGAATAACTTTGATCTACTATTTAAGGACCGATCCACCGTTGTGTTAAACGAAGTTTAAAATGACATTTTTACATTAACAATGTCATTTTAATCTCCGTTTAACTCAACGGTGGAATCAGCCCTTAGTAATTCAAATTTGCTTTGTGATAAATACGGACCTAATCTGGCAAGCCCGCAATTCTCCCTCCCATAGTATAAAATCTGACCTTACTACGCATGTACCTGGGCTAAAAGTGAGTAAGCACGATATACCCACCTAAGAGTAAGAGAGCAAAATATATGGGAGCACTCCCATGGGAGCGCTCCCATGACTTAGTGAATAGCTATCCTGATCTCCATCGGCCAACTCGGGGAAGAGTAAGCGCACTCCGAGTACGTGATCTGTGGCAAGCCGAACACAAAAGAGTAAGCTCTGAGTGCCAAGACGATCACAACTGAGGCATACCGAGTGCACTCTGAGTACAGTGTTTTGAAATTAACATTTATCGAAAAGGTAACGACGCATATTGCAAACCTCATCATAACCTTCACTCTTTCAAATATTTTCTCTGTAGTGACTTCTCTATATTATAAAACATTGTTTTGGTTGTAGGGAATATAACAAACGTATGATTTGGTTACGGGCATTTGCTGCGTTTGAGAATCCACATCGGATGCATTTTTTACATCTCGAGCGTTTTTTTATCCACATCGGACACATCTGTCCCATTACATTTACGTATACTGAATCACGTGATCAAAGATTTTTTACATCTCAGATGCATCCGATGTGGATTCTCAAACGCAGCAAATGTCAATAAAATATTTATTGAATATATAAGCACCTTCCTAAGGGTCTACAAATGGTGGTTGTTGTGATTTCTTATTTTGTTTACCTGTCAGTTCCGAAGTTTTTGTTTTATTTTTCGTGTTTTGAAAACTTTGTTCAAAATGTTTGCCTCTCTCTTCTCTTAGTAATTTATTATAACATTTTTGGGAATTCCTAAACGCATCTTTATATTCCGGTGATAAAATAACATATTTTTCCTAGCTATTGTTCATTTTGTGTTTTGAGGGGAAAGTGTTTGTTGAAATATAATAAAAATATATTCATGAAACAGTTATACTTAACGTCTACAGGAGCGCGTTCAGGAAACGCTCCGACCAAAAAGAGCGTGCTCAAATTGCTCTTGGTTCGTTCAGGAACAGTAGATCGTTCAATTTGGACATTTAGCTAATCTCGTTCAGAAAGTCGAATCAAATTAGTCTAGAGTGCACTCTTTTATACCCAGTTTGGACTGGGTTAGTTTGAGTAAATTTGACAGAACGTAAAGTTCTTTTGCAGGAATTTGTTGTCATATTATTTTTGTGTGTCATAAAGGAATTTTATAAGGTTAAATTTGTTTTAAAATAAATAATCTAAAATTTCTTGTCTTATTGACTTTATAGATCATTCATTATAATCTCGATTATAAATAGGGCTGTGAATAGGTATATATTAAAATAAAAAGAAAGAAAAACAGCTAAAAAAATTAAATGAGTAAAAAGTAAAACTATATGTGACACAAGTAACAATAACGGGAAGCGAGGAACATCAAACATATAAGGGAATAAAATGTCTATAAACAAATAACTGTAAAAAACTATAATTTTCAAATTCGTTGACGTTTACTCGTTGCCGTTCAGAAATTTTGGGCCAATGAGAATTACTCTAGAGTAGTCTGGGCAAACAATCTAAGAACATTAGTCTACTCCCGTGTAAAGTCATCTGAACGTGCTCCTGGGGGGCTATTTTCAAAGTATGGGAGCACTCATTTCTCTCAAGATTCTCATCAGAAATGTCATACGTCAATGTGGAAATGTTGTTTTTAAAGGCATCGAGGATTAAAATTCTTAGGAAGATTTTAATTCTCTCTAAATAAACCGAGAGAAACAGTCAGTGAATTCACACTGGCCCTAAGAGCCCTAAAAATACGGTTTTACGTTGACGTATGACATTTCTCTTGAGAGAAATGAATTCTCTCGAGTTTGAAAATAGTACCCCAGTAGCGTACTAAAGCACCCTTCCTTTCTTCTTTGAACAAACATTTTATAAACCTTTCTACGCTTTTTTGCATTAATGATAATAGCAAAATGTCATCGTCTTCTGCTTCTTCTATAAGCAACTGTGCTGCAATCACAAGTTCACTAGTAGTCATTTTTGTCGAACGAAATAAAAAACACTGATTGGCGACTAGTCGATTACTTGAGGTGACGACGTAAACAGACCACTAGGTGCGACCAGGTGCGTCTAGACGTAAGCAATTAAGCGCCGCGTCTAAACGTCTCGACTACGCCCAAAAGAGACCGTATAGAAAGTTACCAACCTATTTTGAGGGACAAATCAACGTCGAATTACAAAAAAAAAAGACATAATTATTAACAATTACCTAAGTGCGTATTGACGTGTTCCTCGAGCAAATTCTTGCTGCTGTACTTCTTCCCGCACGTATCGCACACCCAAGCCTTGCTTTGCGGATAATGCATGCGTTTGTGGATCCTGAACAATCTGAGATTATTGAAAATCCTGTTGCACACCTCGCACTGGAAATCCCCATCTTCGGCGGCGACGTGCTCGTCCAGATGCGCAGACAGCTGGTTGCGCTTGTTGAAATCCTGCCCGCACACGTCGCAGATGTACAGTCGCACGTCGTGCGCGTCCTTGACGTGGGCGACGATCGCCTTCGATTCACCGGCGACTAATGGGATCAAAATTCGATGTGAAGTAAAAGAAATTAAAAGAAAAAGTGGATAGGAAGCAAAAAAAAAATATTAACGCACCTGTTTCGTCTCCCTCGCACAGGAGACACGTATACAAATTTCCATCCTTCGAGACCACAGGCAGTGCGATGGCTGTCTCGGATTTATTTTCGTCTTCAAGGGATATTTCTGGCTGGATGGGTAATATTTTTTTTCTGAGGATGATCGGTTTTTTGTCGTTATTTATCGACGATATTTTCACGGCGGATTCGGGAGTCGACGGGTTGAGTTTTAGTTGGAATTCTAAAAAAACAAAAACATGTTGCTGCATAAGTACAAAAAGGCTAAGCGCTAGGGGAGAAAACAAGGAAGACAAAAGTAGACGATTTTGCCTTTCGATTTACGCCTCTGGAGCCCTATTATTGAAAAGGTGATGTGTTTTATTTACTGGTTCGTTATTATGTACCTCTCTTTGCATTTTTACCTGATGATTTCTGAAGTCTAGAAATACTCTAATTCTGAGTTTAAAATAATGTGCTCAGACCAGGGGCCCTATCCTCGGCTATCGTTTTCTAAAAAACGTATACGCTTTAGCAACATACGAGCCATTCGCTATTCTCGACATTCGTTTTAAAAGCGTGTACGCTTTTAAAACGGGTGTTTTACAGCGAGCGGAATTTTTCACACGTTTTTGAAAAAACGTGCATGTTTTCAAGGATTTAGTCAATGTCACTTATATGTCACTTTTAGGACGATTAATAATATTGATTGATTTTAACAAATTCTAGGTAAACTACTTTTTATTAATACCTACAAAAGTATCTAATTTCTTATAAATATGGTTTGCAGTACTAAAGAAGTCCATTAGCTGAGAATTTCTTTCAATTATATTATCAATAATTGTACAATTAGAAAACTTAAAAGATAATAATCCTTAAATATTTAGACTTGCAGAGGTAGAATCCAGTTTTTGATTTTAACTGATATTGAATGAATATTTTTTATATCTTACCGTGTAAGAATTTAAATATTAATTCATGTATATTTTATTTACAAATGTTAATTTGCTTGCGGTTCAAAGCTCTTCTGTATCACACGTTGTATCCACACATTTTTACAAAATTGCCACAAAATATTAAAGAACTGAATAAGATAAGCAAAGTTATTAGTTAAATGAATTTTTTACCATAAAAACTAGGTTTTTATGACGTACGATTTTCCTAGAATTAGAGGTTGCATTAACTGCACCCGTATAGCTATTTTTACGCCAACAATTAACGATTCAGTTTATCCTGAACATCGATATATATTATGTGATTAGAAAAAATCATCGTTCGACAAATTTACAATTGGTTTGTTGTAATTAAATTACATAATCCTTATTCTTTTATGGCCTGCACATTACTTGAATTCGACGATATAGACAGTTTACAATGATGCCAGACATATTATTTGCTTGTTAAAAACGTACACGTCTTAAAAAACGAATACTCATCGAACGTCAGTCAAGAATATAGATTTCAAAAACTACTCGCTTTTCAACCACTCACTTTCGAAAACGGTTCGTTTTTTTAGCGATTGTCGAGGATAGCCGCCCAGGGGCTGGTAACTCAAATGGAAAAACATCAGGCTGGTAATTTAGTACCACTCCAATTAACGGGATGGCGCCTCGTATCGAACTGTCATTTTAGTTGTCAGCTCGTCAAAACTTCAAACTCAGATAAAATAAAATGGCTGTTGTATTTGAAGGTGTATTGAATTTTGATTCATCTAGAATCTATATTTATTTTTCAACACCTTCCAATTTTAAGCATGATTTCAATAGATAGGAAGATGGATTTCAGCAACAAACAATAAAGCACTCCCAGATATTGGTAGTAATGCAATTTATACCACATTAAATATGCAGTCGTCCCCCAAATTGTAATAAGTGTCTTAAGAAAAATGCACCATCACTGTACCAACGGTAAGTAATATTTACAAACTTTATTTGATTCAGTGTTAAAATAATTGGTTTGTTATTTAAATTTCTTTTTTTTTTCAGTTTTTAAATGATCATTTTTGTAAAGAAAATGTTGGCCCTCCAAAATACCCTGTCGGTCGATGAAATATTTGAGCCTCAGCCATCAATATCAAAAATTGATTCAATGCCATTGACATCAAACAAGAAAACACCCTAAAATCTTCAAGGTTCCAAACGTTTGTAAGTTTAATTTATGCTCAAAAGTTAAATTTATTTATCACGGTGCCCACATGAATAAAAATTTGATAACTACAAGTGCTGTATAAATGAATCAAGAAAACAATTATCGGATGAAGAAATGCTCCTCAACCTAACTAGTCAACTCAACTGTATGGCAATTTTATCCACACTCAAATTTGCTTCGATAGTAAAAAAGGATGATGGATGCTTCAACCTCAATTTTTTCAAACTTATTTGCCACTCCAAGTCGCAAAACTTTTATAAAGGTCTTGAGCACTTATATATGCTGATTTTGTTACAGAAAACATTTTTGACAGATTTGTTTTATAAATATTTAATTATTTAAATGGTGTAAATGCATATTTGTTTGAGTATTTCCATGTTTAAATAGACAAATTATATGATGCGGCGTTAATTTACTGTAATAAATAAAATAAAATAAATTGCATTTTATTTCAAGTTTGAAATTAATGCAAAAATATAATGAAGTAAAATCAAATAAAGATAAAAATTGGCAAAATATTTGACTAGTTTCAAATCACAAAACAGTCAATATGGTTGTTTTTTGATTTAAAACTAGTCAAATATTTTTCCAATTTTTTGCTTTATTTGATTTTTTCATTACATTTTTGCGCTACTACAAAGTTAAATTTCAAAAAGCCCGCTCGTGGCGGCCATATTGAATTTTAGTACCACTCCAATTTGATAGATGGCAGCACATCGACTCATAATTTTACCATTGAGTTTCCCATCTATTCAAAGTAATCTATGGCTCAGACTCAAGAATATTAGAGTAATTTTTGTAGGTTGTGTATTGGTAATAGTGGGTTGTGCAACAAGAGTGGACCTGAAGACGAAATTTGGGCAAGACGCCGTAGGCGGTGATAGCCTGGTTATGGCTTGAGTGGGAGACCGAACTCGCATGGCTTGGTTCCCATTTAGACAGCAGAATGAATGGAAGAAGATAAGAGCTTGGGAAGGAGTAGGGTAACCAAATGGTGCACAATAAGCCATATGAGCTTCAGTGCTGCCATTCGAACTACAAAGGAGGGAAAGCAGGCTGGACCCCAAGACTGATTGGGGGATCTACCAAGAACCAAGGGGGAACAGATAAATGCCTGAAAGACTAAAAAAAATATTCAACACAATGTTGTCAACTTATGGAAATTTTCCCATATAACTGCAATATTTATTATAAAATAAAAGGGAAAAAATTAAAATAAACTTAAAATATGGATTTTTTTTGTACAGTCTGCTCAACCACGTTGATTTTGGTTTATCTTGGGTGTACTTTAGTGTTATTATTTGCTTTTGCAGTTAGTTGAAGTAAGTTTGTAGTGATCTGTTAATTGACAATTCTGACATCTTTCATCTTGCCAATCATTTTTTGATATTTTAATTTAATATTGGATTGATTTTTTAACAAAATATATTTTATATTTACCAAAAAGTATTTTTTTTACCAATCAGAAACTAATTTCAAATGAAAACAGACATGGGAAAAACTGTGGGAATTTTAAAAATTTTGTGCAGGAAAAAAATAGTAATTTTTCGTGCATGCATGGGATTTTTTTCTTAAAATTAGTTTAGCAACACTGCTGTAATAACAACTTGATACTTAACAATCAAATGAACCAACTAAAGTACATTAAAACAGATCTTAAATCTGGCAACATTGTATTATATACATCCAATGAAATTAAACGAATTTATCGCCAAATTTAAAAAGCAATTATTAATTCACTGAATTTTTTCATAATGCCTACGAGGTTAGTGATGTTAACTACGAAAGTAACAGCCTCCAATCTTAGAACGATCCTTTAATTTTATTAAAGTCTTTGACAGATATCGACACACTAAGTGCCTTAAAATATTAAAGACCAAACCTTCTGGAATTGATTGTATTCCTAGTTACATGGTCAGTGATTGTACCACTTAATGATCTTTAATCTTTCATTAAAATTTAATATAATTCAGAGTATGTGGAAAAGGTATAAATTATGTTCTATTCTTAAGTGGTTTACAAAACGAAATCATGAACTATCGACAACAATATATTGTTAAATTGGTTCAACTTCTCACCTCTTGAGAATTGCAGGACATATATTTCATATATCTTTATATATAAATGAATTAATAATTTAATTGATTGTAGAGAGCTCCTAGAACAACTTAATTTATATGTATCACAACTAAATAATAGAAATGAGCAAACATTTTTTACCTCTAACCTTAGAAAAATACCATTATTTTCATTAAATCAGTTTAAGAATAGAATCAAAATATCTAGACAGTAACATATCATAAATGAGCTGGTTTCTAATGCTTCTTTGCCTATTTTTGTTAAATTTAGATCTTTATTAATCTTATATACATCTATTTAAGCCTTAATAATATTTAAGCTGTCCTGAAAAGATTTTTTTTTATTTCTTGGAAAGCATAAATATCTTTTAAAGGGACCAGATTGATTCGTTAAGCTTTTAATAACAAATTATAAGGATATAAAGTGGATTAATGCACAGCTACTTCAGTAGAAAATTAAAAATTCACTTTCTTTAGAACAAAAAAAATATATACAAACCCCATAAATAAAAAAGACGAAATTTCTTATAGAAGTGCTAAAATAAAATAAACAAACATGAATAGCACAATTTACAAATTAGTATTATCGGAAATAATGCTAAAAACCTCAAAAATGTGTCACCACAAACTTATTCAAATATAAAAAAGGATTCATAAATGTACCTTGATCATTAATAGGAATTTCCATGAATGTATTAGGCTTAATAAGATCAGAAGTAGAAATTCTGGGTTCATAATCAGAATCTGACGAATGTTCCATAGCACCTGAATCAATAATGTCACCTTCGTCAGTAGAAAAACTTTGATATTCTATGTTCGTCTCAATTTCCATCTCATCATTTTCCTTCTCATGGTGCTGCTCTGTATCATCCTCCATACCTACAGCATGCATTCTGGATAATTCAATGTTAATATCCTCAAACGTTTTCTCCGTGGCAATCTGTAATATATAACCAGCATAATTTATTATCACTTTTTTACAACAATAAAGCCTGTACTTACTTGTGTAGAGTCATCATCAGATGAAGGAATGAATAGTAGCTTTCTAGGAGTATCATTCTCTCTATCAACTTCATCTTGGTTTTCTTCATGTTCCTGCTTAATTAAATCGCTTTCAGAACCGTGCTGAACTAATATTTCATTTTTTATTTCAGCCACCCTGCTCTGTAACTCCTCTAGTTCTGATATCAGCGTGAAACATTTCTTACAAATAAGTTGCAAATTATCGGGATCAGGTTTAATAACTTTATTCAATAACTTAGCAACTAAAGCAGCAATGTGTAGATCGGTTTCGGTAGTAGGCTAAAAGAAATTGGTTAAACAGGAACATAAAAAATTATTTACATGGACTGGCTTACATGTTGGCTGAATATCTCAATGTAGTCCGTATTGGGGACCCATCTAGCATTACATACTGCACAAACATCGGTATCTGAAGGCATTTTCGGCGAATTTTCAAAATGTTTTCATTCCGGCGCTTCCGCTGTAAAGGAACAAATCGTTTTTTGTCTCAATTTTAATCATTGACATTGATAATGATCCTACCTAAGGCTCTCGTATTATACGCCCAAATTAGATTTTTCATTTTAAAGCTATTAAATATTTTGTAGTTTTGTGTAAATATATCTTTACCTTTCAAATTTTGGAGATAATTTAGGGAAACACTTTATTTTCGTTAAGAAACAGGGCTGCTAACAAATGCTGCCAAGCTTGAGAATTTTAAGGCAAAAATTAATCGTTACGTCAAAAGTGGTCAAAGAAGTGTGGTACTACGTACCTGACAAGTGACATTTTACGTTTTTCCTCTTCCTGTTACGGAAATTTGCAAAAAACGTTTTTTTGTACGTAACTGATATTTAGTTTCTGTAAAATGTATTTATTTTACTCTATCTGTATGCGTAAGAAAGAGATAAATATATACTACAACCGATTTAAGACGAAGTCCTACGGAACTCATCGAAAAGTTACTACCGATTTCCGATTTAAAACTTTTTTATTTTTGAAGGAAATTCGTATTTCAATAGTTTTAATCTCAATTTCCTACATTTTTAGCATAATTTAATCAATGTTTTATAAAAAAAATTGCACATTTTTATATCACATAAAAATGCTCCACAGAACACAATTTTTTAAAAAAATCTCGTTCTGTGAATAATCTATGTCATAGGTCAGGGATTTTTGTTTCTTTTTCTGGCTCTGGCAAATGAAATGAAATGGCATTTATTTTTAAAAGGTTAACAATAGAAAATGTCGGCTTGTGGAAACGTTTATATCAATTAACTCCAAATCAATATTGTTTAGCTTCCAAAAAGGTAATGAATCAATTCGTCATTTTAAGTCCTCAAAAATAATACGTACATTTTTTAATCTATTTTTCAACCGTATTTTTTCCAGATGAGTTCAGAGGTCGACAAGGCCATAGCGGCTAAAAATGAAAACCAAAAAGAAACTATTTTCGATAAAATAATATCCAAACAGATTCCAGCCGATATTATTTTCGAAGATGACAAGTGTTTGGCGTTTAATGATGTTAATCCACAAGCACCTGTTCATTTTCTAGTGATTCCAAAAAAAAGAATCCCAAAATTGGATGATAGTACTGATGCTGATACAAATGTATGTAATGTGAAAAGAAATACACTTCACTTATTTAAAATGATTTTTTTTAGCTCCTGGGTCATGTTTTATTAACTGCTAAGAATCTTGCCCAGAAAAAGCTTCCAAATGGTTATAGGCTTGTTATTAATAATGGTTCAGATGGTTGTCAGTCAGTGTACCATTTGCATGTACACATATTGGGAGGAAGACAGATGAAGTGGCCCCCAGGTTAATGAAATTTATATTGCTTTGTTGTTTTTCTTTATTGTATTAAGACATTGTTTTAGTGTGAATGTTTTAATACATGTTTAATACATCTACCAAATTATTGTTTTATTTAAAAGAAAATGACTAATACTATTAGTCACTTAAATATAATTTTACAAATATTTATTAGTAAATCAATATTGTACAAGGTGAAAAAATCTTTATGAACACACATTGCAGTTTAACAAAAAAACTAATTCCTGTTATTTATAAATGTCTGTTATACTAATTAGTTAAGGCTATTAATGCATTAACTACATTTCCGTGATATTCTCTAAGAGTTCTTTCGGCTAAAAATCTCGATATCTCCATTTCCTTTACAATCAAATCTACATCTTCCTTTTTGATAGACACTTTCAGTAATTCTTTCTCCCTCGCCTGTTTTTCTAATGCGTCTTTGTTCCTTCTATCTCCTATGGCTGAAATCGCATTCGCCACGTCTTGGGTAGATATTTCTTTTTCCTCAGCATAATCTGTAACTTTTTCTAGATCTGCAGCCCCGCTGTCATACTTGGCGACTTTTTTTTGGTTTTTCTCCTTTTCCGGCAACTCTTCATCGTTGCCGTTAACAGGTTGATCGTCTGCCATTGTGTGTTTGTTTAAAATTTTATTTATATATATGAAAATTAAATCATTAGAATTTAAAAAGAATGTCTATTTTATTTTATAACTACAGACTTGCGTGTTTTGCAACAAATTCAGACAATTTTCTTCTTCTTTTTTTAATTTTAATATTTCATCTACTTTTTATATTTTCTATTTTTGGAAATTATGCTACGGTTATCCAGATAACTCAGAATCTCTTGTATTTAAGGCATACAGCCAGGTATTGAAAATTTCGTGTTTAACCATGGGGTCCTATGATTGAACGTTTATGTTATCCGTAACGTACATGTTAGGCCGACTTTTAACAGTAATGAGGCAAGTTCGTATGATGGAAAACTTTTTCCAACACGTTACTGTTATTTTCCACCTGTTATCTTCTAATTTAACAGTTTTCCATCATCCGAACTTGCCTCGTTACTTTTAAAATTCGGCCTAACATGTACGTTACGGATAACGTAAACGTTCAATCATAGGACCCATTATGGCCTTTTGTCATACTGGATATTGTAATCGTACCATAGATAAATAAATATTAATTTATCTATGAATCGTACTGTACCACGGCGTTACTGTACCAAACGAACGCTTGCCTTAAAATTTTTAAATTCGAACGAAGTTGACTTCGAACAAAGTTGTCATTTTAATGTTATCGTTTTCAGTCGTTGTTATTCGTAAAAAGTCGTAGTTCTTGTTCTTGTGGCAGACATTTTTTGGGTAATCTTTTGGACGAAAAAAAGGAGCATTTAATTCAGGTACTGCTATAAATAGACGAAAATAATGTAACGAAAAATGTTCCTCATATTTCATATTTTTCGAATCACGTACACATTTCGAGCGAGTTAATAATAACGTATTACTTTACGGCATGTCAACATGGAGAGTTTCTCATTGATTATCTAATACCTACCTCTTTGCGTAAATGTTCGCAAATAATGATATAAAAATATATTTTACGTATCGAATCGATAAAATAGCACTTTACAAACATTAACCAGCAAGAAGAATGATTTTTTCACTTTTGCATTTAACTATACCTGCAAGTTCTCTTGTAGGTCACAGACATCATCATACTCCCCACAGATGAATCCTGCTTCCAGAATATGGGATATACCTCCCCCTCCTGGGACAGAGGATATTGATTTGGAACCCGTAGCGGAGCTGAAGAAAGAACCGGAAGCAGAGCCTGAACCAGAACCGAAAAAAGAAATTGATACGCCGCCGAAAGAAAAGTCTGTGGAAAAGGAGGAGGATAAACCCCCAGAGCGCCCTATAGATCGTTTTAATCCATATTTAAAAAATCCTGAATATATAGAGTATGAGAAAAGGCGTCAAGAGCGCAAACAGAGGTCTAGATCGCGTAGCCATTCCAGGGATAGATACCACAGGCGAAGATATTCCAGGAGTAGATCAAGAGACCGTTATCGTAGGTCAAGGTCGCGCTCGCGTCGCAGGAGAAGACGCTATAGTTCCTCAAAAAGTCGATCACGTTCACCCTCGCATCATCGCCGACACAAGTACAGTAGACGAAGACGTTCCGTGTCCAAACATTCTCGATCCAGATCTAAATCGAAAAGTGCCTCGAGATCACGTCATGGTTCACGAAGGCCCAAAACCCACAAAGACAAGAAATCCCGATCGAAATCACCACCGAACAAGCCTATCGAAGAAAAAATACCTGACGTTGACACCCACGAGGTTGACATGAAGATCGAGGAAGAGGAAGATGATGCAAACAAAGACAACGTATTCAAAAACGATGGCAGTTTTCTGGAGATGTTCAAAAAGATGCAGGAGCAGCAAAAGGTGAAGGAGGAGCCACCCACCCCTTTAGATGTAATTAAAAGAGCCCCTCCCGTTTTCGGAAAAAGACGTGGAGGGAAAGTTTTGAAAACAGGCTTAGTCCAAAAGGTTAGACTACCGAATGAGGAGGACAATAGTTCACAAGATGCTTGGTCGGTGTATATGAAAGAAGTGCGAAAGTACAAAGAAGCCTGTTGTGACGACGATTCGAAAACTAGACCTCTGGTTAAATGAACATTTACTAATTTGCATAAGTAGCTCAGAATTACTTCTCTCTCTTTTTTTAGGTAATTAAGTTCTTGAAAATTAAAATAAATTTAATTTGATTGAGTATGTCTTAAATATATTGGGAAGCATTAAATCCTGTTTATTTATAATATATTTCTTTTGTATGTTTGTAAAGTGCTATAAACTGAATGTTGGTTAAAGTGCCAAAGTGGTTTTAATAATTTAGTAAAACTTGATTTTTTTTATATCTAAAATAAAACTTTATTTTATATTTTAAAGAAACACGGTAATTGAACACTCTGTTCCTATTCTGTGCTATTTCAATTGATCTTTCCTTCATATAAAGACTGATGGTGAATCATTATGTTTTCGTTTGGACTTGTTCCGCACGTCCTTATCGCAACCTCTACATTGCTCTTATTATACCTCATTTCTAATTTTTTCTGCCTTGTGACTGCATAATTTTGCAACTTCCTACTTCTCTAGGCTGACTGCTTTCTGTAAATTCTGGGAATCCTGATTAATAATACAAAATCAGGAAATTTTAATCAAGCAAAATGCAAATTTTGTTGTATTTATAAATTTGATAGTATTCTAGATAGTTTCTTTGGTTTCTGTTGAATACCTACCTTTTGTAATCCTTTCCTAGCATTTTTTAATTAAAAATTTGCTAAATAAGAAATGAAAAAATTACGCACAACTGTCTGATGTTGAACCACTTTTGCCATGGTGTTTGACCAAAATAAGTATAAAAAAAATCTTAATTTGGCTGCCATTTTATTGTCAAAGCTGTTTAAAAATAGATACAATGTGCTGGCTCTAAATAGCTGAGTTTCACAATAGATTTGTAAATGTCGCATGTGAACGAATTTAGCGTCCAAATCGTCACAGCAATTAATTTATCTTAAGTCACTAAACAGCTACAACAACTTAGTTAAAGAAATAGGTTAATATACCAAGCAAATTAGGGAAAACATTGCATTAAGAGCTGTTACTTTCTACCTTCGGTTAAACACAATTACATGTTTTAAACATGATGTTTAATTATGCCAAATAACTTAATCAGACTTATTTTTTCCAGCCTTATAGTTTTTATTTAACATAATTTATTATCAATAAAACATACAAATGAAAATTAACCTTTATACATATTTACGGCAGATAATTTATTTGTATTTTTCATGATAAAAAGTGATTATATACTTATATAATGTTCATTTAAAAATTTTAAATCCAAGAAAACTCAAACTCGTCAGTTAGCCATACTCATGATGTCGCAGAGTTCATTCTTAGTAAGGTTATAACTATAATAAAAAAATAATAACTGAATTCGTTACTCTAAGAATCCTGGCAATAGCAGACAAATTTACTGAAAATGAACGTCTATTCAAATGAAATTAATAAAAATAAGGACTATGACTATCATCAGAAGATGAACCACGTTTCCCTTTTTAAATGAAATCTTAAAAAATCCATTGTATCAAAATACTAAAATAAACTTTTCTTTCTTGTACCATTTTCATCATATTAAACTTTTCATTAGTGTTCGAAATAAATTTTTATTAATTTGCTAAAATAGACAAACTGAAAATTTAAAATATATGGTTAAAAAAACCTTGATTAAAATTATAATCATTAGTTTTCAGAGCTGTTAAATTTAACAGCGCCCTAGGAGTGACAGTAACGGCCCTTAATAACTCAAATAAAACATGTCAGAAATGCATACTCTAGGGATTTTTAAATTGATAGTCATTTCAGCTATTTTTTCCCTGAATTGCAACTGCGGCAATACAGTTTCAGTTCGTCACTATTTTTTGCAATTACGAAGCACACGGGTGGCTGTTAATGCCTTTAAAGATTTTGTTATTACGCGGACACTTTTTTTATGAATATTTTCAGATTAAAAATAAATGTAGACACTTTAAAGGTAAGTATTTTAAGTGTCTTGAAGCAGAAGAAATTCTTCTTAAAAATAGTAAGTACCTATATTTGCTTTGTATATTAAATTATTCGATTAGATCCGTTTAACATAAATACAGGGTATTGCATGATGTACTGTACAAACTCAAATATCATATCAAGCAAAAAATTACTCATGAACAAATATCAAATTCTACATGGTTACCGAGCTACAAGCGTTCAAAGATCAAAAGATAAACGTAGTATGCCATGTTTTCAAAATTTTTGGTAGTTTATCAACAATTATTAACAGTTGACTAGTTTGTGATAAATTTAAATTTGCAATATGCCTGTGCTGTTTTCGAATGAAAAATATACCGACAGTGTACATTTATGGGTTTTGTAATGGAAATTCGCGAGCTGCTTGTAGGGAGTATCGGCGACGATTTTCGTGCCGACAAGTTCCAATTTACCAAACATTTACAGCCGTATGCATAGTCGATCGCCAGCGATTCGCTGGCGATCCGCCGGCGAAATCCCAAAAAGCTGGCGACTCGCCGGAGATTGTCACCGGAATGTCATTTCACGCAAGTTTTCATGTTCTTTTATAGGGAAAAATTTGATATTCGTTCATTATTTTTTGAGTTTTAAGAAATTAATCATGAATAAAATGCGAGAGATACCGGTGATAATCCCTATAAAAGAAAATAAAAACTTGCGTGAAATGACATTCCGGTGACAATTTCCGGCGAGACGCCACCTTTTTGGACTTTCGCCGGCGGATCGCCAGCGAATCGCTGGCGAAACGCCGGAATGAATCTCTGGCGATCGACTATGCATACGGCTGTTGAGTTGTATTTCGATCAAAGCTATGATCTATAAAGGTAGCATGAGAGAGATAGACTTATACGTATTCAATGTTAAGCAATGTTACAAACGTCGTGGAATTTCAGGTTGTTTGTTTTGACAAGGACTCTGTTTATAAACGTAGAAAATTTTAAGTTGCGTAGTGTCACGGAAAACAAAAAGCAATAATTAATAATAAGTAACTTTATTTATCAAAGATAATATCATACAATAATTCAAAATAAACCAACAATTTAATATAAACATGAACTTCATAATTAATTCAAAATAAACATAAAACTTAATATAATTTTCCACCATAATATAATAAAAAAAAGAGAAAAAACAAAAGAATAAAAGAAACAGTGATGTAGGTATTTAAAATAACAGCTTGATTAAAAGTATAACAAGTAAAAGAAAAAACAATTTTCAACTATATAATTCATAAATTATTTTTTACATAAATAATAAGTTCTTTCTTATATTAACTAGGATTCTGAACATTTTTAAAATTTTGAGGCAGATGATTGAATTGATCGATCCCTTTATGAAATAAGCTTTTCATAGAACTACTTTTATTAGTTGTTTGTATATAAAATTTGATAGAGTTTGGTGCTTTTGTGTTTCTTTGATGTATTTCTGTGACCGGGATTAGTTGACAGTTAAGATATTCAGGCAACAAATAGTTTATTATTTTAAATATAAAAACCATTATTTGTACATATAGCACTTTTTCAACACATAGCCAATTTAAGGCGTCTTAACATAAATTGAATACTGGTATATTTGTTATAACCTAATATGACTCGCATCGCTTTGTTTTGTAGAACCTGTAGTCTATCAAAATTGGAACATCCTGTATATATTAAAGAACAGCAATAGTTAAAGTGGGGTAAAATAAGTGTATTATATACAGTCAATTTAATTGAAATTGATAGATATGGTGACACTTTTCGTAAAAATCCTATTTTTTCCTACTTTTTACAGATATACTCAATGTGTTTATTAAATTTTGGTTCGCTATCCGACATAACTCCTAAATACTTTATTTCTTGGACCATTTCTACTGTTTAGTTATTTATTTTAATGTCTAAATTTAAATTCAAAAATCTATTGTATAGAAAGTTACCAATGAACATTAATTTTGATTTCATCTCATTAACTTTTAATTTATTTTGTTTGAATTTAGATGTTAATAACCCCAATTCATGGTTGACGGTCTCAGCAAAATCATCCCCATAATAATAGATAAACGTGTCATCTGCAAAATGTATTTTACATTTTTTAAGAACCTGTCCCAAGTCATTTATATAAAGTATGAATAGTAAGGGTCCAAGCACGCTTCCCTGCGGCATCCTAAAAGTATTTAATTTTGGATTTGATACCTCATTATTAATTGTACTTACTTGATATCTATTTAATATTCATAAACGATTGGATTCGGGAACAACATATTAACTACTGGGGAAGCATCCCAAAACAAGCACATGGAAAAACCTTCATAGGCAGACCATGTCCCAAAAGAACTGGAGAACTACTCTTAATGAATGGGGAACCAGTTGAAAGTGATAACAGGGTTCATGACTGGGCACGCCCCAGTAAAGGGACACTTGAACAAAATTGGCATGTACAATGGGGAAGATACCGTGCGAATGCGAAGCTCTAGATCGCAAAAGACAGGCTCTTTTTGGACAACCCCAGGTTGATCCAACAACGTATAGAACCCACTCACCCAAGGATCTGTACAAACTTGTACAAGGTACAAAGGTGATAGAGTGGGTGCTATGAATTAACATGGGGTAAAACACAATAAGCCAATAGGCTTCAGTGTTATTCGGAGACACATAGTATTAATTATTTTATAAAACTTATCATAAAATAGTAATGTGTTTAAAATAAAAATCAATTATTTTAATAAACTGAAGCTTTGAGTACTAAAAAGTCTAAATAGGTATATACAACTTGTTGTCGGATAATCGTTGTTAGTCCTGATGTAAACAGTTATATTTTGTGTGTTTTACAACTTCTCTTTCTCTGATCCTAGTTTTGTGGTTTCGACGTTTCTAACACATGGCATATTACGTTAATCTTCTGATCTTTGAACGCTTGGATATTTGTTTAAAGGACATATTTTGCTTGAATTGAACTCAGGAATATGCTATTGTTTGTACAGTACGTCATGCAACATCCCGTATATTTTGCACTGAAGTACCTAAATATTACTACAGTGTGACCCACTTAAAAACGGAGGACCCCTGTAA